AGCAGGAACCCCTGTGGACTGTTAACAGCAGACTGTGATTCTGCTTGGATTACAAGATCTGGATAAGTAATTTCATCCTTAATCCATCACTGTCTATAGAAGTAATGGAACAGCTTCTACCTACGAAAACTCAGGAAGAGGAGAAGATTGAAACTGAAGGAAAAAAAAAAAGAGCGGGGCAAAAGGAGAGCAGAAGTAAACAGCTGACAAGTCCACTGAGAGTCCCATGCACAAGTGTATGCAGACATAAGTAGGAAACAAGGAAATGGGACACAGTGTGCTAATAGAAAAGTAGCAAATAGAGGAACAAAGGAGATAAAACTCTACTTTGGAACGAGGTTTCAACAGCAATGAAAATACCACCTCCAACATAATTTACTCCTTCTGTTACACTGATCCCAGTGTAAATTTTGTAGAGATGTTTGATACCATACTACAGCCATAACCAATAAATCTCAAGTAATTAATAATTAAGCCTCAAAGCTTTCATATACAAACCTGTCAGTAAACTGGCACAATATTACAAATAGACAAAGCATAATGCAAAGACTGCAAAAATGTAACAACACAGAGACAAGTGAATTTCTCAGAGGAGACAATGGAAGTGAGAAAAGCTGAAAAAGGAGATACACTGTTTAGATATAAGTGATAGAAAAAACCAAGTAACTGGACAGCTGTTTTATGTGATGCAGAGTTCAAGGATGGACAAGAAAGCAGTGAAAGCAATAATCAGACTGGGGATTAATATTTCTTTTCCTCATAGAAGATGCCATAATAACGACTCCATCACTATGCTTACTAAAGATCATCATCTACAATGAAAGGCACTTCCCACCATAGGCTAGAGAACACCTCTTTCATACTCTGTCACAGAAGAAAAATATTCTCATTTGCATATAAAAGATTCATTTGATTTTGCTATAGATACTTATTATTTTTATGTTATTTGCTTGTCCGGCTAGATGTCTGACAGATAGGGCACATACTCCCAAATATGTAAAATGGGTAATTTATGCTAGAAAGGACCAAAAAAGTTGCCTTCTAAAAGGTAACCTTGAGGCAAAAGTCTAGGAAACTGTATTTTCAACCAACCCTGCTCTTTGAAAGGCCGATCTCAAACCCAAATACCCAAGCAGAATTGATTATTCTCTTCTTTCCAAGATTATTTACTTCTTTTCATAGTGAGCAGATCTCTCGTTCTGCAGTAAACATCATGACAGCGTAGGCAAGTAAAGTTTATACACGGAGCAAATATTGTTTGTCTTTGATAGCATGCTATCTAAAAGCATAAGACCTTTCAAAGAGATTGGAAGGAGCGAAGAAAAAGGAAGCTTCACATTCAGCTCTTTCAGCTCTAACACAAAAATAGTAAGCTTGGTTTGAACTGCTTAAGGAAGAAGACAGGAAGTCAGCTCAGAGATCAAAAATGATAAGGGGAGAAATACGTAAAGAGCAGTCAAGAGAGATCTTAGTAACATTATCTGAAAATGAAAAACAAATAATGCAAAGAAACAAGCCACAGTAACTACTGTGAAGACTACAAAAATAACAAGAGGAAAATAAAATTAGTTGCTTTCTTTTTAGTATTTCAAAGAAATTCAGGGGCAAGAAGAGAAGTAACTAAAGTACCTTTGGGGAGAATAGTATTGTCGAAAACAAGTGAAAATAGTAACTCAAGAAAAGGATAGCAGGTCAAAAATTGACCCAGGGTAAGAAGTAACTTTATTACTTTACCCACATTACACTATGGATATATTGGCCTTGTAAACTAGGTATTTAACACGCTGACACCCCAGCTGACACTCTGCAATTCAAGAGACTTGTGGCTGACTTAAAAACAGAAGCAAGATGTAACGATGGGGTGGAGACGGGGTCGGAGCAACTCCAGCCAGAACCCCCGCCCCAAGAGAAAGCGACCCATGCCACAGGACTCATTCAGCGTGTAACGGGAAAGAGACATTCCCCTACCCTTTCCCTGCCTCGGCCCTATAGCTTCTCCCCCACGGCCAGCCCCC